GGGGGGGGGGGGGAAGGCTTGTTGGGATGTGTTCAAAAACCCATATTAATCTTCACCCAGATGGTTGGTTCTAGTCCAAGCCTAGCCAAGTCTTTTTGTTACTAATGCTTTTCTGACATGTACCTTAGAGTCTAATGATATGCATTATACGAAAACTTCTTCAGATTTCAGAGATGAAAATTCAGAGCAAATAACCTCTCCCTAACTTTTGGGGGGTCAATTGCATTGAAGCCAAAATGGCTTACCCGGAATTTAAAAGAAGGTAAGGAATAGTTAAGGAGTCACATACAGACTCTAAGCTTTTATAAAGCTGCTCTCAGCAGGAGACAAAAAATAAAACAACCCATGCAAGACTGATTGTTGACAGATTCATGCCTCTGTCAATCACAGTACACAATGTAAACTAATATCTGTTGAGAAAGGAGCACTGATCATTTCATACTTAAGTGTAAGTGACACCAGTAATGTTTCCATTTACAATTCATGGACCCTGTCCAGCAGTTTATCAAGGACAGGCCATGATGACATGGTGCCTGGCCTTGTGTCCCCAGGGCGTTCAGTTATGAAGTCATTTTCAAGAGGACTGCTTGCCCTGAATCTTGTAGGACTTTCCTAGTGTAACATAACCCAATCACAGATGTTACAAATTAATAATTCATCCTAATTTCTGAGAGTGTTGTTGGTGTTTTTTTAAAGCTAGGGAAGCCCTATATTTTTTGTTAACCAAGGAAAATTTGGTTTTAATATAATACTAACAGTAGATTCACTAGAGGGGAATTCCATGCTGACAGCAAATATTAAAATTTAGTATCATTAAAAATAAATGGTAAATTAGACATATTTATAGCAGCCACAGGCAACAGTACAGAATATATAGATGGGGGGCTCAGATCCAGTATTAATTAACACACAATTCGAGTTTGAAAGTCTCATCTTTTAAAACACTCTAGAAAGCCTTTATTATATCTCAGCACTTGCAGACAGCAGCATCGCTTACAAAGAGCTCTTTATTCATGCCTGCAAACAAATGGGACTCTGTAACGTGTGAAAATTCTCAAATTCGAAAAGTGATTAACAAGGGAGTAGTAAGATCTCTGTAGCTGTAAGAAAAGCACATTATTTACCAGCTTATCTTGGACTAATGACCCGTCAACAGGGTCCTGACAACAGCCAATCACTAATGCACCAGCATTTTGACAGAGCGCCTGCTGAGTTCCAGGACCAGCTGTCCCACGAACTGTCCATAACCTTCAAGAAAGGCAGGCTGAACCTGGTGATGTTTAGGAGTTGATTTGGGAGTTTTTACATTTTTGTGCAGGGACAGGGAAGGAGTACCAGAACTTCCCATCACCGAGCAGTTGATCTGATGTGTTTGTTAAGACTTTGACTATTGAACTCCTAGACCAGATGCTTCCAGTTGTCTTGCTTTAGCTTAAATTACCCAGAATATTCAGGCCCAGAGGCAAACATCGCCTCTAAATGTCTTCTGTTCTGATGGGGAGAGGAGAGTGGGAATAGAACCAACATATTCACTGGTGTGCTTTAAGAGTTAATTAATGAACATCATAAAACCTGATGCAGATTTGGAAAGCAGCATAACTGTTGGTGATAACAAAGATGATAATGCGGCTTCTGCACCTGGTGGTTATGAGCAGCGAACACAAGAGGGGAAGGAGTTTCTGCTCCTCGGCATGGTGACGAGTCCAGGGAGCACAGAATTTGACTGTGGTTAATGGAAAAGTCACCTAACTCTTTGTCACAGACCTTTGATATTTGACCTAGTGACCCTCTGCACTGCAACTCTGACATTCCGTCTTTCAGGAAACTGGAGGTGTGGTGGGAGTGGGGTGGCGGTGGGGTATGTGCAGTGTCCTCGTCCTTGCTCAGGTCACCCGAGGTGCTGCTTAAACGACAGATTCCCGGGTGCCACCTCACACTTACTGAATCGGAAATTCTGGTGGAGTAGGGGCCAGAAATCCACATTTTAACTGTATGAATCTCATGCTTGCTTATTAAAGTTTGAGAAGCACTAGCTTAAGGTATGAATAGAATATATGTATTTAGAGTTTGCCACAATCTACCTCTTCATTCAGGAATTTTCCTTTTTATTTTTTTTAATCATTTTTAAGAAGTCTAGTCTTCCTTATAGTTCCTGTTAACACTTGTATAAGGCGCAGGGTTTTCTCACTTTAATGATTATATCCAGAGCCATAAACAAGTTGAGATAACCGTGGATTTTGCCAGTTTATGATCCAGTTAAAGGTGGGGCAGCTAGGTGTTGTAGAAAGTTTACTAGTCCAAAGTCCTGAGGTTAGGGTTTGTCACTAGCAGCTGTCAATGAATTGGGGTGGGCAGTAGGGCCCTCTCATTTACAAAAATAAGGGAGTTGTGGGCTATAAACCTACGGGCTCTCAATCTTTTAATTATAGAATTCTATTCATTTGGCTTACCCAAGTCAGAGGGATTTCTGTTGTTTTTCATTTTGTAGGCTCTGGTTTCCTGGAATTAAGCAATCAGGTACTAAATTACAATTGGTAGGGTCCACTGATCCAGGTGTGTTCGCTTTAAAATTTCTAAAGTGTTTTAACTATTGTCCTTGCGCAAACAAAAGAGTGCTGGTAACAACCCAAATAACTGCATACATTTTCTTAAGCAACCAACTTGGGTGCACAGCCACATGGTGCAAGGAGTATGTGTGTGTGTCCCACATCTGATTGTATATCATCAATACTTGTTTCTAGCCACACCCTAAAGACTCCAAGGAAGTCATAGGCTTGTAGTCTTTGTCCTTCATCACCTTGGGTTCTTTGTCTTCTTTATTTTTTTTACAGGAGCTCAGGCTCCAACATTTTGCCAGACTATCACAGAATGAGCATCTTTTTTTGTTTTTTACAGTGAAAATAATCTTATTTTTAGCTGTTGCTGCTTGTATAGTTTTCTTCTGACCTCTACCTCTCAGTCTGTCCTGGAATTATTTCCTTATTTTTTCCTCTTGTCATACACTCAGTAGATACTCTCTGGATTTCTAGAATCTTCTTTTAAAACATATCTTTCAGACTGTGGGACACATTAGTAGGTCATAAAACCAGTTTAGAGGGACATTTTTTATATCAGAGTAATAAGTTTAAATGCTGTTTTGAACAATACGTTTTAATTTTATACAACTGCCTGTATGTGTGCATGCTCTTGAGTTTTTCGGCCTGCGTGTGAAATGCATTTCTTACTGTAGGTCAGAGTGAAATATGTTTGAAAACCATTGCTCCACAGGACAGGGTCTATGGCTTCTTGGTCCTCTAAGGACCCCTTTGCGACGAAACCACAGGACAATAACCACACTGTTTGCATTTCTCTATTCGGTCTTGGTGACCACCCTGGCTAGACTGGCTGCTCTCCCCACTTGACAAACACAGGCCAGTCTGGCATCATAGCCAGTACTTTCCACTATATATTTTTGGTCTGACCTACATCCACAGCCTTTTCTGATCTATGAAGTTACTGTCAACACACTGGGAGGTATTATTTATCTTCCTCCCATGGTTTTGGGTGACAAAGAACCAACCCTGGGGAAAATAACACCAGGAAGACTGCCCCTTAAGAAACAACAAAACTCTTTCTCAGTGTTTTCTTTCAAGCTTCTCCTTTTTAACTAATCAGATTTACAGGAATTAAAGTGGTGTATCCTCATATACCCAAAAGTCTTTGATGATAGCTGAAAGACAATCTCACAGCACTGCAGAGATCCTCCATGTTCCTCTGCTCCAAGTGGGTGATGGTGGCCGAGACTGAGGTAGGAACAGGAGAGATGGAAGAACATCCTGAGATGGGCCCGTCAAACACGACGCCAGCAGTTTTAGTCATGAGCATTGAACATCAGCTATGTAATGAAGGTGCCTGGACTGCGGTGTTGGGTCACTCCCTTAATCATCTCAACTGTAAATCTAGTTCGAATATAGTGAAGGCTCATAATGAAGCTGACATGAGAAATATTAAAGAATTGGAGTAAGCAAACTGTGATGCCAAAAACTCAAAACATTATTTTCCAACTAAAATAGAAGTTTGTCACTTGCATACATAACAGTACAAGGAAGATCGTCCCTGTTGGATTCAAAGAGTTATTCCAGTACCTAGGCTGGTATCTTCCAAGCTCTCTCTGGGTCATGACGTTGTGATTGAGGGAAAGGATGAGCACATGCCTGGAAGGTTTCGTGGGCCTGGCATGGAGGAGGCACACATCACTGCCGCACATACTCTTAGCCAAGGGCTAAGCACGTGGCCACAGCCGGGAGGCTGCGGAGTACAGTTTACTGTGCGAGACTCTGATGGCCGGCTCACAGCCCCTTCACAGGAATTAACAGTCACCAGGTGCCTGGCGTGTACCAAACGCTTCAGGTGCAGTATCTCACCTAGTTCTCAGACAGCAGGTAATGCAATCTTAATTTTGCAGAAAAGGGAACTGAGGTCTAGATGATTTAAGTAACAGCTCAGCAAACCATTATCCTCCTTAATATGTCAAAGATTGAGGTTTTACTATGTTTCAGATGTTTTTAATGCTTCAAAATAAAAACTTTGTCTTTAATTGGCTTATTGTGGTAGACAGGATGGACACACAAAAAAATGTCCTCACCCTGACCCCTGGAATGTGGGAATGTGTTACATGGCAAAAGGGACTTTGCCGATATAATTAAGGTTCTGGACCTTAAAATAGGAAGGTTATCCAGGATTATCCACATATCATTACATGAGCCCTTAAAAGCCGAGAACTTTCTCTGGCTGGAGTCAGAGAGATGCAGCAGAAGTGGAACCACGGTGAACTGAAATCTGCCAACAACTGGATTACGCTTGAAAGCAGATTTTCCCCAGAGCCTCCAGAACGGAACACGGCCCTGCTGACACCTTGAGTTCAGTCTTGAGAGACACAGTGTAGAGAAATCCAGTTGAACCTCGCTGGTGCCTGAATTCTCTGACAGGCAGACACAATAAATGGGTGTTGTTTCATTTGTTTCGGCTGCAATAGAAAACTAAGGTGCTTCTCGTCTCTAAGTCTTTGAAGGTAAATGTCCTTATCTGAACTTTATGGATTGATGGTAGTGAAATTCACAGCAGAACTGGGATTTGCATCTAGCGCTGTGTGACTTCAAATACTTTCCCCCTAAGATGTTGTTTTTCCTTCCAGGAGAGGTGGAAATGTATTATAAAATGTACATAGTGCCATGTGAATGACAGGCATGTGTATTAGTATTAGGAGTGATATTGATTCCATAAATGCAAATAGGTTTTAAGAGTAAATGACCAAAAAAGATACTGAAATACAGTAGACACAATAGTTCTGTTTGAATTTTACTGTCAAGTCTAAAAGAAAAATAAGAGACAGCTATTGTGTTGTTAATTATGTCTTTTAAAAAATTAAAACAGCCTTTTTTTCTGTGTAAATGATTAAGAGACCCATTTTAGTTCTGTGACTTTCAGACAAAATCACATTAAAGCAAAGTAGGGGTGGACAGTTTAATCCATCTTTAATCTTCTCTAAGAGAGCCAGTTGCTCTTTTGGTCTGGCAGGTGGATGAATTACTTTTCCCTGCTCAATAATTCCTTGATTATACACATATATATGAGGCAAACAAAGAAATAAGTGACAGTTTGAGATTTCATGAGGATAAACCTACATTGAAGAACAGAATTTACATGTAAAAGATTCTAATGTCGGTCTTTTATAATGATAAATCTTTGGAAAGAATTCATATGAAAGAGCTATTTACTGTGTATATAGAATTTTCCCAGCTTTTGCTCTTTAAGGAATTAGACATGGAGACTGATATTCCTGGTATCCATTGGGGAAAATATTTTCAGTTTATTAGATAATCGTTTGTTCTTTTTCTAAAACTCTAGACCTAGTCTCAGGCTGTTGCAGATCACTAAACAGTTTACATTTAGATAAGTTAGGTGAAAGCCCACCTGTATATCAGTGATTATTACTCTGTTCATATCTCTCCATGTCTGCAGTCTCCATGCCTGAAATTCAGTACTCCAGGTGATTGTTTTCTGTGAAAGGTAAACATAAATGCAGATAATAAAGCAGAAATCTCCTTGCTTCTCCAGTTTACGACTGCAATTTTAAAAAAAAGATTATAGTTACAATAGCAAAAAAGAAAAGAAACAGCTGCGGAACGTTCATTCCAAAGACCCGAGGAGCTCTATTTCATTTACGTCTTCATCGGCACGTCCCCACTGGATCTAACCTGTTCTTTTCCTCTGTCCCAACAGGAATACTATGACAAAGGAGATTACATTATACGAGAGGGCGAGGAAGGAAGTACCTTCTTCATTTTAGCCAAAGGAACGGTAAATATTTAGGCTACAGATTAATTATAGGTTAAAGTAAATCAAAGTCTTTTCAAATCATTTTGCCAGAAGTGCAGCTGTGCCCTGCTGTGCAGCATTAGAGGCCCTCTGCTTTGAATGGGTAGAGTTTCTGCTCAGAGTCCTGTGGGGTTCCCGTCTGAGCACCGGGTTTGGGGGCACAGGAACTTTTTGTGATGTGCTCCAGCTGAGACAGTAACTTCCTAGTCACCTCAGCAGGTGCACTTGATTTTTTTGGACCTCATTTCATTGTGTGTAAAATGACTGGATTATTTCTAAGATTCCTTCTCGCTATGAGTGTGTGATTTTCAATCAGCCCGAGGGTCTAAGATCAGGACTGGAACATTTTCTCATCCAACAGATATGGCAAGGAGAGTGAACTTGGCAGTGGAGGACAGTGATGGTCAGGCCTCAAGCTTTAAAACAGTTTGGCTCAGGACTTCAGTTCATACCCAACAGCTTGAGTTGATTTAGATGCTGATGAAAATTTTATACTAATAGATCTTTTCCTTTACCTGGATATTGAGTGGATAACATAGTGCTGGTTGTTCCTTTTTTTGGCTCCTTACAGTGATCCTCAGAGATAAAAAGCATCTGTCAAATACTGAAGGAAAGAGTAAAATCTTGAGCACCTGTGTCTATAAACTGTTGGATTTTTACAAATGCTCTTTCTTTCATGGGAAAGTTCATCATCAGAGAGTTAGGCACTGCCCTTTGTAAATTGGTTTGTGATTGAACTTTGAACTGGGCCACCAGTGAAGAAAAAAATGTATCAAAATAGTTTCAAACCTCAGAAACTCTTCAACACTCAGAGCCACTTTTGTCATTTCTCCCCATCCTGGACCCATGCTTTGAAAGAATTCTAGCTGATAAACAATTTAAAAAATGTTTTAAATTCATTGTGACTTAGGTAAATGCTAATCAGAATTTCTAATCAACATGAAGCAACTCTTGTTACCATCTTGAATTAGAATAATTCTAACCACAACCAAGGCATATTGAAGTTGTTGTTAGGCTCTGCCATCGGGGTTCTTAAACCTGCCTGGGCTGTAGATCACAATGACCTGTGAAAGTTTGCAGATCCTTCTCCACATCCACATTCTCAGTTTTAGAGGGTTCACAGGATTCAGCGAATCAATTATAAACAGCAGATTCCGAACTCCTGATTCTCAGCCTTATTCTTGAGTAAACTGTCAATTCTATTTGGCGTTTTGAAACAAAGTTCCCAGAGGACCATTATGATTTGCTTTGAGTATCCCTAAGAAGGAGTCACTAGCTTCACATAAAAATTGTTCACTTTGGGAGGTGGGCTTTGAAGGGAGAATTCCTCTGACAGGGTGGAGGCATGTGATCGTGTTACATCACAGGATTTCTCAGTCCATCCAGATTTCCTAACTACTGCAGAGTGATTCCTTGTTTAGGCAAGTTTATAGACAGCTGGAGGGTCTGGTTGAACAGATATGTGTTCAGATTTCCTTTTGTTCTCTCTTTTTCATTGTTTGACATAATTTAGGTCAAGGTCACCCAGAGTATGGAAGGCCATGATCAGCCACAAGTGATAAAAACACTGCAGAAAGGAGAATACTTTGGAGAAAAAGCTCTTATCAGGTGACTCCATGGATTTGTATACCATACTAAAATAATTATTTGATTGTTTTGTATGTGTACTTCCTCATTTAAGATTGTCAAATTGAGCTACCAAATTAATGATAGCCAATGTCCAGGAATTCAACAAAAATTAAAAAATATTTTTTGCATAGGAAATAAGTTAGAAAGTTATGTTTGCTAGTGAAAACAAGTGTTCTATTAGAATTTTTTTAGTTTAAAAAGGAGTCAGAGAAAGAGAGTCAAAATTATAATTTTCTCTTAAGAACATGTTTTTATATTTGCACGGTTTGAATTTGCTGCTTTCCCTTTAAAAGAAAAGTCAGATAATGACTTTACATATCTTATGTACTTTTTAATCATCATGACAAAAGTTCTATATTTTTAAGAATTTTTATCAGCTCATTTTGCAAGTTTTAGAGACAAAATAGGTATGAATTTATTTGGTTGATCTAACTTATGGAAGAAATATTTGTAAAGGCTAATTAGTTCAGGAGACACTTTGTTCTTCCTGGAACCCAGAAAACAACCTCAAGTCTGAAGAATTGCATTTTTGTAAAAGTAAATGACTTTATAAAAGATCAAGTAAAAGTTTTGAGAAACACCTTTTTTTTGGAGTTATAGATGTTTTTAAATGAATACTTGAAATTAGTTAAAGAAATGCCTTAAAATTTATGTTATTACTAAATGCTTTCATTTCATTTCATTGCATTTTATAACATAAAATCACATGCTCAGAAAAAGGAGCAGTATTTCTCTTCATTTATCTTCCTCCAACTCTTGTGTAGAAAGCCCCAGTTCTGCTTATTTGGATGTCAGGATTACATAAGGACAGAACTAAAAAAAGTGTTCATAAATTAAGATCTGAAGACAAATTTGATTATTTGAAAATTATAAGACTATTTTTTTTAAAGAAAATTCAATTATTTAAACTTAATGTTATGGCTATTATGTCAACAATTTAAAAATGAAATTTAAAGACAAGTTGAATGTTTGTTTCCCATTTTCTAGCTGATAGTGAACATGTTTCAATAATAGGGAAATTGTCCTTTTTTGTTTGTTTATTTGTGACCGAATAGTGCACATTCATGTAATATAATTATGTACTGTCATTATTCAAGACCTCAGTGTATTTGTTCTTAAGCTTCTCAGATTATCCTTCTCATACCTCCAAGAAAAACAACTACAGTTTGGAAGTGCAGGGAACTTCATAAATGTCTATAGAGTCAAAATAGCTTTTGAAAGGAAAGACGCTGTCTTGTTTTGCTGGACCCAAAATCATTGATGCTGTATGTTTCAGCTAGCCAATTACAGTGTTTTCCCATGATAAACTTGGGAATTTATATTTAATATAAACACCCAACTCACCAAAGCATTTGAAAGCATAAAGATAAAATCAACGAGGAGAGTTGGATACAAATATGTTTTACATTTTTATGCATTTTTATGCTATCGCTTTTCAGGGCCACTGAGTATGATGCAATATTCCTTATATTCTGTATATTTCCATGACTTGACATTAAATAGTCCCAGGAGTTCTTTCAGAATTTGATGTGCAAAAGTAAATCCATGGCACTTACACGGTTACTATGAAAGAAACGTGTATTTACAGGCATCTGATGCTTATAAAGTGTTTTCAGAGAATGTCTAGTCAAAATGATGACACGGACAAGTGGAAAGGATGCCATACTTCCTTTTTTTTGAACTCATAAATCAAATAGTCGGCCACATCCAAGATCACATCTGTATCTATATCTCTATAGTTATGTACATATAGGTTGAGTACAAACTACCCGGCTCCCAATTCAAAGGCTAATCGAGCTGAAGTGTTTTCACTGATGTCTTCTAGCAAGGACCCTGGAAACTTGGGAGGGACTGTGGGTCAGGTCAGAAAACCTCCTGATGCCAGCTGTGGGGATAGGGGACCTCTGTGGAATACAGAGACGGGCTGCCAAGGTTTTCTCTGTCCCATCATTAAAGGAAGGTGAAAGAACTATGCTTTGTGTGGTTCCACTTTTGATGAAGTTGCTTAAAGCAGTCTCAATATACTTGCTACTCCAGGCTACCTTAAATGAATCGCAGAGCATTGGGTACCATATGGGTGTGCCTTTTTCCTCCAATATCTTTAGCTTACAACTAATAGAGGGAGGAAACTAATTAAATAAAAGTCTCTAAATACTTTACCCAGCACTTGACTCATTGCTATTTATTAGGTTACTAAATTTACCATCATTAGATCACATGCCGTAATTTATTGTATTTGAGATATCAATGGTAAGCTGCACCATTATATTGTATTCCCCTGAGAAAGAGAGACATTGCTGTCAATCACACTATGACTCACCATCAACTATAAGACATACTCTGGTTTTAAAGATTTTAATAGAAGGTGTATGTATTAGGTCCTATGAAATGAAAATATTTTCATGTTATTTAATTCATTGGGCAATTGCATTAAAAACACTTTCTTTGGGCTTTGTTCTTGATTGGTGTATTATATGTTAGTTACTCAATGTTTTTTCAATGAACTCCTCTGGTCAGTTAGTTTTGGTTTTGCCTGCCTATGTATTAGCAGTGCCCGTGGATCAGAGGAGAGCTGTTGTATTTGGCAGACACAAGAACAGAATGAGATTCCATACGTAGTTGCTGTCACTGATTCTTCTGTGTCCCCTGCAGTTGCTGTCCTGTCCCCTAAATTTCCTGTATACATAACCTTTGTTGGAACATGTTTCAAATCCTTTTTAGGGAAAAGGATGGAGTATAGCTGATGATGTTAAAAAAAAAAAAAGCATAGTTCTTGGAAGGTTTAAGTAAAGGAATTTTCTACAAAGTAGCAGATTCCCTAATAAAAATAGGTGTGTAATTTCTAACTGTGGACAATTGCCTTTCCTGTTTTTGTCTGCAGTGAAGATGTCAGATCAGCAAACATTATCGCTGAGGAAAATGATGTTGCGTGCCTGGTTATAGATCGAGAGTGAGTATACTGATATTGTTGGAGAAGGCAGGAGGCTACTGTCCCCTTTGAAGACTTGGCCTTCTGTCATTCCAAGGGCCCATCTGTCTTCTCATTCATCACCACTTGGAAATGCTGGCTAATCTTCAGCTGCAAGTATATTCTATTAAAATTCATGGGAAGGAACTGGGCCTTCTGATCTGAATCTGTCTGTGGCAGTGGCAGATGCTGGCAGGCTAAATATTTTGTGTGCAAAATTTGTACATAAATATCAGCAATCGATTTAAATTCTGCATCTTCCAGAAAAATAAGCTTATTAGTACTCATGGATTTTCCCCACATACTATAGTGAACAGTTTCATAATTTATTTCTAAAATTCTCTAAGCAGTTAAAAAATTTTTAAACAAAATGTATCTCTCTCAAACAAAATATAAAATACTCATTAGCTAGACATATATCCAGATAATTTTTAATTTAGAACTTGTAGTAATTTGCAAGTGATGTGTATCAATATTAATCTCTAAATGTCTTGGGTTATTTTTCAGAATAAGTCACATTTTGTGTCCTTAACTCCCTTCAAGTCATATTTGAACCTGGCCCCTTGTATCTCATTAATCAGTTGAATATTTATTATGTAGTTATGATAAAGGAAATTTGAACATACCAAAGCTAGGTCATTCTCTGAGAAAATTCCTAGTGTAATCAAAGAAATAGGGAATACTCGCTAAATATTAACAAAAATAGTAAAATAACAAGAGGTATCACAGGGAGTATATAGTCAATTGCTAACTGAATACAACACTTATTGAACATGAAATCATAGAGATTTAGAGCTGGAAAGAACTTTAGAACATTTTAAAAATCTTTTTGTTATGGAAAATTTCAGATATGTTAAAAAATATGGTATTATAGACCTCATAGTGCAAGTTCAACAGTGATTTAGTAATGCCTTATTTATACCACTTCACCACCCCTCCCTGCTTTCTCCACACTATTTTCAAGCAAATTACACCATAAAATTATTTTACCTATAAATTTTATAGGACATATCTCTAAAAACTAAGTATAATTTATAATGCATGACTACAATAACCTTAATATGCCTAAAATGTTAACAATAACTTTTTTATTTTTATTGAGCTAGAATTGACATATTAACATTATATTAGTTTCAGGTGTACAACATGATGATTCAATGTATGTCTGTATTCCAAAGCGAGCACCGCAATAAGTCTAGTTAACATCCACGCGTAGACCAGTCTCTCCCTTACAGATAAGAAGAGTGATCTCAGATCAGTTAAAGAATTGCCCCAACGCTGCCATCTGCGATGGAGCAGGGGCTCCTGTCCAGGTCTCCCCGTTTCTTTCAGCCTTCTTGACACTGTGTCATTTGGCCCCCATAGTATGTGTTCAGTAATAGAAGCAATCTTTAGTCACTTTCCTCTCCACCGTCTTTTTAAAAATCAAGAAAGAATAAAAACCGTTGTTGGTAAACCTGAACAGCAAGGCAGAAAACTACAGAAATGTTTTCTCACTGATAGCTTCTTTGCTTCATAAACTCAAAGAATCCACTATATAACTTCTAATAACTATTCTGGCATATTATGGCAATACTAACATACATAAATTACTGAAAAACAATTTACAAAGCCTTGAATAACCATAGAAACAGTCTTTTACAAGCTTAAGAAGAATGCCAAGTTGCAATGGTAACTGGCAGCACAGAGCTTTTCATTTAATTTTATTTTATTTGTTCAGAACGTTCAACCAGACAGTTGGGACTTTTGAAGAACTACAAAAATACCTTGAAGGGTATGTGGCAAACCTGAACCGTGATGATGAAAAAAGACATGCGAAGTAAGTGGAGGTATTTTCCTAAGCTGGATATGATTACAACAGTTGATGAAGGGGACAGAGGGGTGTGAGTCACTATTGTAGTAACTTTTAGTGTGCCTTCACTAGAAAATTTGGGGAGGTTCTTTTAAATTGTCTTCTACAAAGAGGATACCACTTACCACTGGCATGATTATTTTAGTTTATACGTAGTCAGCTCCTTATTTAGGGTGGTGAGTAGTAATGGTAGGGAGAACGTTCCTGAAAGGGGGCCTTGGAAAAGGGATTCTTCACATTGTCTGGTGACTTAGTTCAAAATCCATTAATTCAGAAACTATGCCTCTGTTGCCCATGGAAATCAAACAAGAGGGCCAAGGAATTCAAGTAGCCCTTTCCCTCTGATCTCAGGTTAAAAACTGGCAGTATAGTCAGAATTATTTCAAAATATAAGGGAGCTACCACCCAGGGGAGTGTGTGTGCTCATGTGTGTGCGTGCGTGCTCAAGGAGGAAGGAATTGGGTAGGGCTCTAAATGTAATAATACTCATGAGAAATTTTCTGTTTCATAGAAAAATCTACTTTGTAAAGCTAAAATTATTTGAAAATCCTTTGCTAAAACATTTTGTGGAATGAATACTTAAGCATATATTCACCAGGTAGTACAATCGAAGCTGAAGAGTCCGAAGTTCCAGAAAACTGACATTTGAGTTGAATTAGAGCACTCAGTCAGGACTCACAGGTGTTTTTTGTGTGTGTGTGTGCAAGAAATGTATTTGCAACTTTATGCCAAAGGCCTTTTGTAGTAACAACAATTTATAAATATATAACCCAGAGCAATAAACCATAAATAAAAGAGAAAAACGAATATTTCCAAATAACAATAGTTAGATATAAAGTAGGAAAAATATATTTTTTATGTTTCCCAAAATAGTTATTCTAGTCCAGTCATAGGAAGCATCAAGATCTGACAAAAATAGCAAAACATGACATGATTCTCAGTGTGACATTCTCTGGTATACGCAACAAAGAAAATGGCTCTCGGGTTTATTTCCTCTCACTGACTCTTCTCTTTTTAACAGCTTTCTTGAGATACATTTTAAATACCACCCAGTTCACTCATTTTTGCCTCTCATTGATTTAATTTGACATTTGCCTATTACTGTGTGTGGTGTCAGTTTTTTGTTCGTATATTCTATTGTTTTTCTCCCCAGATGTGACTGAATCTGATCCTATAGAAGTTGAAATAGCCTTTGTGGCAACTGTAGGCAGGAATGACCCAGAAAGAAGGCTGTTGTGGGAGTGAAAGTTCTGGGTGGCAGGACCCCTGCATGACCCCTGCATGTATGTAATGTGTCGCTTCTCTTGAGCAGGAGATCCATGTCTCACCGGAATCTGTCGAAAGCGCTCTCTCTGGAGATGATTCAGCTGAAGGAGAAAGTGGCCAGATTTTCCTCTTCATCCCCATTCCAGAACCTTGAGATTATCGCAACACTGGGCGTTGGTGGGTTCGGAAGAGTTGAGCTTGTAAGGGGTTTACGTTTCAAGCATCTGAGAGACGCCTTTGACTTTCTTTTTCTGTTTTGTATTCCAGTGTGTCTTGGAGGAATGTGTGAATTGTTATTGCTATCTCAAATGTTGCTTTGAACTGAGAAAGTACACTTTTCAGTCTGTCTGTTGTATAGTAGCAGGTCTGTGCTAGTAAGTGACCTAGAGCTGCTATTTCAAGCTTCTTACATTCCCTCCTGTTGTGAATACTTTTGATGATGGTAGTTATTGGAGAATGCACAAAGTAAGCATTCCCAAAGACTATAAAGCCTTAAAAAATGTATTCCTAACAGCAAAATGTGTGTACATATATTCTAGTGACACATCACTGTCTATATACTAAAGAAGCGAAGACCGTGTCCTGGGCAAGTGCCATAGAAACAAATTCAGTATTATAGTTCTGTCTCTTAAACAACTTCGCTGCCATGTCTGTCTTTGGCTTTTATTATTTTATTTTTGAGTTGCACAGTGTTTTCTATTAGAAAAAAAGAAGAGCAGATGAGTGCAAAGGGATGCTGGGAGAGCAGCCTTCTGTAGTGTTTATCGGGACGGCTAGGAATGCGTGGCCTGGTTTCCGCTGCACCTTCCACATCACCGCCTCTCTGAGCTTTATAACCAGCTTCCAAGGAGTAGAGGGCGGTGTTGTCAGATCAGGTGCTCTGAGGAAACTGTAGGATGGAGATCTGGGGCCTTATTAGACACAGATGGCTCTGAACCCTTGGCAATTACCAAGCCCTTCTCTGCCCAGCAGATTCGTAACAACTCTCTGTACGTTAGCCTCCGGGTACTACGCTGACACATCCACCTGCTGGATGACCCTGGGCACGAGCAGCTCTGAAATGCTGCCAGGAGGCTGGATAGCACACTTCACACCCAGTCAGTACTCCATCTCTGATGGGTGTGTGGGGGGAACAATCTCTTAATAGGCTGAGGAATATTTATAGTGTTTCTCTGCCATATGGAGAGAGGAGGCCACACCCATCTCCAGTTATATTTTTCACCAAAGACCTTGGCAAAGGGATTGAGTTAACAACTCTGAAATCTCTCTTTTTTAGTTAGATAATTATAATTGAAACAATAATTTCGCCATTAATTTAAAAATCATAGGCAGCACTAATGGCAAATGTGAGAACAATATGGGATGTAACCATTTCTGCACAATTTTATTACTTGTTAAATATAGTCTGCTTATGGAGTTTTAAGCCCACCTGAATAAATACTTTTTAATTTTATTTTAAATTTTCTTCTAAGGAAAATCCTGTTTGCCCATCTAGATCAGTGGTCTCCAACAGAACTTTCTGAGCTGATGGAAATGTTCTGTATCTGTGCTGTCCCATAAGGCAGCCACTACCTGGAGGTGGCTGTTGAGCTTTTGAAGTGTGGCTAGTGCAACCGAGGAACTGAATTTTGACTTTTAATTAATTTAAAATTAAACCACCTCATGAGACTAGTGGCTATTACACTGGATAGTGCAGATATAGATCTTGATTTAACATGTTTTGCTGTGAAAATCAAAGAAGAAAGAGTACTTCTGGCCAAAGCTTTTTATGTCACCTTCAAAACGGAATAGGTTTCTAAACATTAAATCTTCTAACTACAGTTTTTTCTCTTGTTCCAATACAAACAGTTTAGAACCATGGTCCAGTTATGTGAACTCTGATGGAAATCACAATGAAGGGGAAGTGTGTACCCCTGAATAAAGCTCAGTTCCCAGAGGGATACATGGTTCAAACTTCCATACTATTTTTATATATAGTGAGAATTTTAACTCTCATTAGTTAACATGTTTTATATAGATGTCGCCAATCTTTCCTAGTAACTGAGTCTTAAGGGATCTTTCTCTTCTTACATAGGTTAAAGTAAAAAACGAGAATGTTGCTTTTGCTATGAAGTGTATAAGGAAGAAACACATAGTTGATACTAAGCAACAGGAGCATGTCTACTCGGAGAAGAGGATCCTGGAGGAGCTGTGTTCGCCCTTCGTTGTGAAGTAAGTGAGCATTTGGCTCTCAGAACTGAGGATGCTGGGCTCTTTTTGTGAGTGTTTCCATGCAGGAGAGTGGACAGAGGACAAAGAGGAGGCCCCACCCGAATTCTCCATCCCAGTCACAGCCTCAATACGTAAAATGTTCAAAGTTTGAGATCTGGAGTCAAGCACCCAGACCTTTTCGTTCTTGAGTAAAGGTCAAGAAAGTGTGTGTGTGTGTGTGTGTGTGTGTAAAATTAAGTGAAAGAATTTGAATTGATTATTTAGTCCAGACCTAATTCAGAATTGGGAAAGTAAGAATTCATTGGAAGCCCCCCCAGGGAGCGTGCAGCTGTTGAATTTCTGCTCGCAGTGGCATCTGGGCACACCTATTCTGCCAAGGGGCAACAAACCAGGTTCTTGCAGGGCCTCGATGCTGAAAGTTCTGCCTCCTAGTAGTTATTGTTCTATCTGTAGCTATCACCAGAGCCTGGAAGGGAAATAAGTTATTCTAGGCCATGGCTGTCTTTACTTGTGAAGTCAGGGTTACTGTTTGTTGTGAGCCAGTTTGTATTTTCATATACGACTTTAATGGAGCTTTAGTGATTTCTGGGTGATATAAAGTGCACTTTCAGTGAATAGAATTTATACTTTTTTAATCAAATGCTTTGAAAGAATCTTCCTGCCAATTCATATTCCAATGTTTTCAGTATTAAAAAGGAAGTGTGAACCCAGGTAGTGGTGGTAATAGGGCCATCCAATTATCTTTATATTAACTATATTTCTAAAATGCATCCTCCCCTTTTTTTTAACCAATAATTCATTAAACTATGATGAACAGCTTCAGTGCATGGATTAGGTTTTATTCATTTACTCATTTCCAGCTCTTTAAGGAGTTCTTGGCATATAGTATGGTAGTAATGACATTAAGAATAAATATTAAAGACATTTTTTTGAGAAATTAACATGTGTCAGGCACTCTTCTAAGCAATATATATATATATATAATATATAATATACATATAAGATAAAATATATTTATTTATTTTTAAAAGTTCTATTTATGCCTGACCGGTGTGGCTCATCGATTGAGCACTGACCTATGATCCAGGAGATTCCGGTTCGATTCCCGGTCAGGGCACATGCCCTGGTTGCGGGCTCGATCCCCAGTCAGGGGCATGCAGGAGGCAGCCGATCATTGACTCTCTCTGATCATTGATGTTTCTCTCTCTCTTTCCGTCTCCCTTCCTCTCTCTGAAGTCAATAAAGGCATATATATATATATATTTTTTAAAGTTATATTTATTTATATACAATGTGTAGATATAAACATATAGTAAATTAACATAATCAATGATATATCCATATTTAATCAATATATGATCAAATGAAAATATGTTCATAATAGAACAGTGAGGTAAATGTTATGATTGCCTTCATTGGAGAAGAATAAGAAAAGTGAGATTGCATAGCCAATAAATGGTTGGTCAGGGATTCAAGCCTAGGTGGCTGGTTCCAGAACCACTGTACCAGATTATTTTTGCTGCCTGTACATGATGCAGCTGCTCTGCTGTCTGTTGTAGCCCAGGCAAAGTGCAAGGGAGAAAAAGGGGTCTTTTGATTAAGGCCCAGAGACTACTTTCACCTAATGTAGAAATATGATACCCTGCCCAGGTCCCACATCAGGACTGAGGCTGCCATTCCCCAAGATCCTGGGTGTGCTACCAAATGAGGACTCTGGCTCAGCCCTTCTCTTGCCATTGCTCTTAGGTGCAGAAAACCCCTTTGCCCAAGATCATACTCTCTTTCCAGGTAGAGCCTGCATCCAGTGATGGCAGAGCTTCTTGAAGCTGGGGCTTTTGTTGAAACTAGATTATAGCCCAACGCTACCTCTGCCAAAATCTGTTTCTTCCTCCCGCGTGGGTACTGTTCCCATGTGTGCTCACCACTAAACTTCTTACAAACCTCTGTCTCAAAGTCTATTTCCTGAGACCAACTAGAGGACATAGGACATGAGTGTGAATAACTGTTATGAAAGACAGATCTTAAAGGAGGTATAATCAGAGGTCTCTGGGTTTGGGAGGAAGGAGAGGCCATATTTGGTAGATGGGATAATGATTTTGGCCTTGAGGAATGTTTAACACTTTTACAGTCAAACTGAGATTAAGAAGTTGTCTATGGGTAGAGGGAGGACAGTCTAAGTAAAAGGACCAACGTGAGCAAAAGCAAGGCAGTAGGAACAATCACAGGGGACTCAGGTAGAAGCCCAGTGTAGCTATAGGATGTTTAGAAGGGGAAGAGGACCATTGTTCAGAATGTTACCGATGATACTCTTAAGCAACTTGAGAGAAGCTTTAAAACTAGGTTTCTAATAATCCTGTTTTTATCTGTCTTCACAGATTGTATCGTACTTTCAAGGACAATAAGTATGTATACATGCTTCTGGAAGCCTGCTTAGGTGGGGAGCTATGGAGCATATTAAGGGACAGGTAATGAAAAAGATTATAAGCAATAGCACTTGTCTACTCACAAATGGTATAAAGGATGCTGCATTCATGATCATTTAAAGAGACATGAAAGCAGTAGTTAAGATACGATTCTAAGAAAATATTACCACCTGATAAAGTGGTGATAGTGATATTTCCTTAGCCAACATTATAATCATGTGTCATAGGCACCCTTTAAGGCTGTTATTGTCATTCCCACATTAGGGATTAAAGAATCGCAGGTTTAGGGACAGTGTGAACTATCCACAGTGACATGTTTAGTATGAGACAAAGTAGATACAAATCCAGATGCTTCTGATTGTGACTCTCCAGAAGAGAGATGAAGAAAAGAGGGGAGTGGTGAATGCTTTTCTGAAAAACAGAGTCAGATGTTTGCAAAGATTCAGTTTTATAAAGGGGTAGTTTCCACACAATCGAAGCCACCGGTGTTTGCTGAGCAGCACCCATGCACAGGGCTCCATAGTAGGCAGTTCGGGGTTTTCTAGACAATGCAGACTTTTCTAACCTAAAGAGTAGAAAGTATAAACTTTTCCTTCAATGAGTTTGGAGTTTATTGGGGGAGATAGTGTATGGGATTTAAAAACATTTCATTATTTAATGTGAAAACTAAGTATGATGAAGTTGGCAGTTTGCAATTGAAGGCCAGTTGAGTGTGATAGATAGTAAGCTTGGAGGAGAGGAGAGAAAGAAAACATGATGATAGAGGAAGGACCTGAACTAAACTCTAAAGATGACCAAATGTAGAAAGGCAGAGAGGAAGGGAAACTCATGTAAGATACAATGGGGATGTTGGGATACAGTTGGGTCTCTTTGTGGATGATGAACAGCAGACTTTGAGTAGAAGACAAGGGCAGCAGCAGAGAAGATGGACAGGAAGGTTTGCACTGGGTTGTGGGGGTTAATGCCAGGCATTTAGACAGTATTACCTGGGCCAGTGGTTCTTAACCCTGACTACACATTACAGTCACATGGGGATCTTTTACAGAATATAAATGCTGAACACTAACATGAAATATCAGGATTCAGTTAATGTGGGATAGGGTCCAGTAAATTATTTTTGATGCTTCTCAGGCAATTCTAATGTGCTTTCATGGCTGAGCATCACACACTTAGGCAATAAGAGACCATTGAGAGTCTGAGTAGAAGATGAATGTGTTGTGTTAGGAACATACTGTTGGATGGATCTGAATGGGAAGAATCTGGAAGGAAGAGGCGACTTGCATGACACCTGCAGAAGCATTTGCATCTTCCATCTTTGCTTCCACAAGGCAAATCTATTTAGAAAATCTACATCTATTTAGAAAGGAGAATTTATACTTCCTGTTAGGCACTGCACCTAATCCTCAAAACAACACTGTTAAGTAAGTAGTAAACCCATTTTATAGATAGGGATCTGAGGCTCAGAACAGCTAAATAACTTGTACAAGGACACAGTGAGTGGAAGTGGTAGGAGTCAAAGCCAGTCTCTTTCACTCCAAAGACATATCCATCTATTATACCATGCAGCAAATCACCTCCACATTTCAACAGTTCAGTATAGAAACATACACACCATGCTGACAGAGGGCAACTCTAATATCATCAAGGTGCACAAAACAGGAGGGAGTTATGGTTACATGCTTTACAAACAGGAAATGAAAATGATCACTTCAGTCATGTTTTAGTCAAGCAATCAATTTTAGACATCTGGTTCAGACTTGCCATTGAAATAGTGTCATTTTCTCCAGCGTTGCATTTCTCAAAAAATGTCTTAAAAACCTTTCTCTATTTTTCTGTGTTATATGTTCATATGTAATTAGCAGAAGCAGTTGTTTAGATGTGGACATTTTGATTCTACTGAAGTAGCTCTTGTTTGTATCTAGTATCCCCCTAAATTTATGATCAATCTAATTGACTGGCAGTATAACGTACTTTTTAGTGTTGCTGTCCTACAAAACAATTGTGTTGCACAAATTTACCAAAACCATGATCCACACCCAGAACAGACAACAAAGGTGTATCTTGAGAGTATTAAGAGGGAACGCAATTTCATTGCAGAGGCAGCTTTGATGAACCCACCTCCAAGTTCTGTGTGGCTTGTGTGACTGAAGCATTTGATTACCTGCATCGACTAGGTATTATCTACAGAGACCTGAAGCCAGAAAACTTAATTCTGGATGCTGAGGGCTATCTGAAATTGGTAAGACAAATTCTCTAACTTATAGTATCATACAAGATAGTTCCAAGCACAAAGTTGTATGATTGTTGCAGTTTTCTTTTAATTTTGGTACACCTGTTACTCCCACTTTGGGGGATAGGGCTTTTGAAACACAGGGAGCAGTGTTACAAGCACAGTCTTTTTGGCCTAGGAATTTTGTATTTCAGCTGTATTTGTGACTCTTACTAGGAATTCACACAACAGAGTGCCTTTAAAGTTGTATTTTGTTAATATTTTTGTTTAATAGTTTTAACTAAGTTTTAATAGGTTCCTATTACATACAGGTACCAGCTATAAAAGATAAGGAAAGATGATAGTATGGCTCCTGCCCTGAGAAAGCCACTGTCTGTACAGGGAGAAAAGCTAGACATATGAATGTTGGTTGTTTTTGAAATACTTCTAGGTGATTCTAAAGTACAGGCAGGGTTGAGAATCGTAGCACTAGACTATAGGCTCCTGGGGAACAGAGACTTTTCTTGCTATCTATCTTTGTAATCCTCTAGTCTAATGCTTGACATAAATCTCCTTGCATATCACACTAAAGAAAAAAATGCTAGTCACATAAACTACTTTCAGTGAGAAATTATGTTAGAACTGGGCAGTCACAATTTAGGAGAAACCAAGGCACTTCGGGCCTTAGGAGGGAACCCCATCAGGATGAGTTTTTCTGAGTCCATTTTGTCAGTACCTCAAGGACATGACATTTACCTCTGGACTTAATATTTACAAAGATACTAAAAGTTTCTCACATCAGAACTTTTACACATGGACATGATAATAGTACCATTTAATGAGTAGTCGACCGTGTGTAAAGCTATTGTGCAAAACACTTTGCAGTTAATATATTTAGCAATTGATGAGATAGGTTTCTCATCCACATGTTACAGTATATAATTTAGTCTTAGGAATTAAATTTATTATGTGTAATTGCTAAGCAATTTCTCTCCCTAGTAAAGGAGTAAAATAAAAGTCCTTTCATGTGAAATCTGGCTGACTTCCAAGAAACATTTTGATCCACTCAAGCTTTATCTTACCCCAGAAAGACAGCTTTGAGAGGTTCTAACACGAGGCCCCAATCCCTCCTCTTCTTCACAGTCCCTTCATTGGCCGTGCCTCTCACAGCTGTTTAGGGAATCCTTTGGAATATTCTAGAAGTAAAGCTATCACAAGGCATGCAGATATCCATTCAATTCATTTTTTTATAGCTCTTTTTAAAACATTAGATAGCATATTCAGTATTCAGTATTTATAGTCATAGAGGTCAATAAATCTCTCTCCTGTTAGCCATTGTTACCCATCCTGCTAACTCATTTGCCAACCAGCTAAATGAAGGTTAATAACTAAAGCCTTTAGAGATTAAAAAGCACTTGTTGGATATTTCCATTTCTATCTATATATCAAACTAGATATCCTGAAATCCTCTCTAAAATGTCTAAAAGTACTGGATGCAACATGAAAAGCAGTGTTACATGCGTGGCTGAGTTTATGAGACAGCATTGGGATTCTTCTGAGGCTGGGAATCAAGCTAGAGCAGTGGCATAAGACAGAACTCAAACACTGAAGCTGCTAACTTGTGGGCACCCAGCAATCCTAGGTGGCCTGGAGGTTTGATTTTATTAGCTGTACCCTATGGGAACAGGAGACCAAGTTTTGGACCTGGGCAGTGTGGGAAGTTCAAACAGAGAACATTGCACAGAGCTGAGAATCACACTCGCAGGGAAACAGAAACAAGAAAAAATATCCAGCATATAAAGACAGAGTAAATGGAAGAAAACATGCCTTTCTCATTATTAGACCTTTAGCAGAGGAATAGAAGAGTCTTTTTCTAAAAAATCTTGGCCACAGGCTGATCTTCATGGAGTTTGGGTGCCCAGTCTTCAAGGATGGAAAAACCCAGGCAAGAATTTAAATGAAAAAGGATCCACGTTGGTAGCATGCCCAAGTTTCCAAGAATCAATGTATATTCTCTCTGGAAGAATGTACTCTCAGCTCAGGACACAAAGAACTCTCAGATATAAAGTTCCAGGGAACATCAGCTCACATTTAAAAATAAAATTGAAAATGTCTGAGGGAAAAAGATAGAATGAACATTATTTAGGAAGCACATAAATGTCTCAGTATTGGAATAATCAGATGAAGAATGTAAAATAAGCCTTTTAAAAATAAGAGAGGGACTAACAAATGAGTAAGGAGCAGAGTCTCAAAAAAGATCTAAGGTTTAGGAAAAAACACACAAATAAAACTTCTATTAAGATACTAGGGAAAAAATTAGGAACATAATGATTGAAATTAAATATTCAATGGAAGTTTTTCATTAACAGTGAAGTAGCTTTCATTGGACTAATCTTGCTAAGGTTAATTATAATATATGTAAAAATGTATAAAGACATTAGAGAGCAACAGAAAGTAGACTTTCAAACCTTGAAAAGGGGAACTGCACTGGTCAAATCCACATTGATACAGCTGTTTACAGCTGTTCGTTTCAGGACATTTTTTACTGTATAAGTCATGGGGATAACCCTTTAGTTAACATCACATCTAATGGTGAAATATTGAACATTTTTCATTTAGATTGTGAACAAGGCAAGAATATTTTCTTTGACCACTTTTATTTTCAACATTATAACAGAAGTATTAGCCAATGAAATAAACCAAGAAAAAGAAATGAAAGGTTAAAAAGGAAGAAGTTACTTGTTTTTATTTGCGGCCAACATGATCGTTGATGTATAAAAGCCTCAAGAATCTACAAAGGAGGCAGCAAAGAGGAAATAGGAAACCTAGAAAACAATCAAAGAGAAAGCACATGTGGGGAGTAGAAAGAAATCTAACATATACAAATAGACTTAACTCACCAGATAAAATCCAAGGATTGTCAAATAGATTTAAAAACTAAAAACCAGCTATCTGATGTTTACAAGAGACAGATCTAGAATATAAGGATGCAGAAGGGTTGAAATTAAAGGGATGGAAAAAGATATTTCTGGGAAATATTCAACAAATTTAAATGCAGGTTTCATTATGTTAGTATCTGGGAAGAAGTATTACTAGAGATAAAGAGTAAAGAGGGTTACCATATGATGAAGGTTCATTTTACCAAGATGATCTCAAAATCTTGATCTTTTATTTACCAATTAAATGCCTCAAAAATAAGAAGTAGAATTTGATAGAACTAACAGGGAGAAATGAACAACTTTAGGAAAATTTAATATGCTTCTCTCAGAAATTGATATAACAACCAAAAATCACTAAAGCTTTAAAAGATGCATACAACACAATTAATGATTTCGATTTAATGGGCTTATAGACTGTTGTTTTCAATAGTTAGAGATACACATGAACAATATTTGATCATAAACTGAGCCCTTAAGCAAGTTTCATAAATAGGAATTGGGCCCTCAGCAGCCAAGCAGAGCTGCTTTCTCTGAGGGTTCATGAAGGGACTGCAGTAGAGGTGGAGGGGGTGGGGTGCCTGGTGACAGCACAGCAGGAATGCACTGAGTGATGGACACTGGGCCGTCCAACCTTGGACATAAATGTCTTGGAGGATGAAAGATTCCCTGTTCCAGTGACCTTGGCCCCATTCTACGAATTTTGATAAGTGGCATTTTTATCTTCCTTTGCTATTTCTTGGTAATAACTGTGAAGGGTCAGATATCTAAGAATGACAAGTAAGGAGAGGTGTTTCTTCCCAGCAAAGAATAGCCAGTGAAATCCTGGAGAAGAGATGTAAGAGAAAGGTGTGGCTTTGCTAAGTGTCTCTAGAGGCTGTGGAGGTGTTCCCTTCTCTGGTAACCACCGAGGATGAGTTGGTGGTAAGGAAGACATCCTACATCTCTTCCCCAGTTCGTCACTGAGATTGCCAGCCTGACTGCAACCACTAACAAAAATTGTAACTCATCTCATTGGAATTTTAAGAATACTTCAAAGTAACTCTAGGATCAGTGAAGAAGAAACTTGAAAGAGTATTTTTAAAATAGGTGAAAAAGGTGAAAGGATTAAGAATTAAAAAAAACCCCAGACAGCCGTATGGTGATCACCCCCCGAGGAAAAGGGGGTGGTGGTGGTAGGTGAAAGAGGGCAGCGGGGGGATACACGAGGAGGGGAAGAGACTTGACTTTGGGTGGTGAGCGCACAGTGCAGTGTGCAGACGATGTGTTATTGAGCTGTACACTTGAAACCTGTATGGTTTTCTTAACCACTGTCACCCCAATAAAGTCAATAATAAAAAGCAGAAAGAATATACTACATACATAGCACCACAAGTAGGTTGCCGCTAAAGTGATAGGTAGTAATGTTTATAGCCTTAAAAGTGTCCACTAGGAAATAAGAAAGGCTAAAAATTGATGAGCTAAGCATCCAATTTAAGAAGTTGGAAAAGGGGGAAACAAAAGAAAAGAGAAGACAAAATTATAAAGTTAAGAACATGAATTAATAAAATAAAAAATAAAAGGAATATGGAAGCAAGGTTGGTGTTTTGAAAAGTTTAATAAAATTAACAAGTCTGTGGAAATACTGGTCAAAAGTAAAAGGGATGAGGTACAGATATATACTATCATATGGGAACATCATAACAATTAAAGCAGAGATTTATGTGGAGTAGAAAGTATTTGGGCAACTCTACACTAATTCTGTGAGGCTAATGTAAACTTGATTCTCCAAAAGAAACTCCTAAGAAAGGCAAATTAATGTCCAATATCACTCATGAATTTAATCCAAAAATCATAAGCCAAATATTAACAAGCCAAACACTCCAATGAATACAAACTATGATAATACATAACAGAGTTGAATATATCTCAGGAATGCAAGCATTTAACATTAAAAATTCTATTAAAACAAGTCACAGGGGTGCGCAAAAATAGGTTTACAGTTTGTATGGAAAATAATATAATAATAAATTAAAAATAATATGAGAATAAACTGTTTCACGTACTCACAACTGTAAACCTACTTTTGCTCACTTGTGTATTTGACAATATCTAGTAAAGGTGAAGAAACTATATCTTTGACCCAGCAATTTTATTGTCATACACATCACTAGATAACATGGAAAATGATAACAGAAGCATTTTTGTAATAGCACACAGTTAACTATAATACAAATGTCCAAAGATAGTATAATAGACAAAAATAATCATGGTGTGTCCATTCAATGGTGTATGATACCGAATGAAAGTAACTGTACTATAATATGACTTAAATTCACAGATATGATTTTAAGTGAAAAGAGGCAATTTGACCAAGAATAAATATAAGATTTATCTGAAAATTTTAAAAATGAAAACTATATATTATTTAAAGATATCTACTATGTGGTAAAATCAGAAATGAATGCAAGCAAATGATAAACATAAAAGTCAGGGTAATGATGACCTCTTGGCAATGGGCAAGAAGACACAATGGGAGAGCACATAGGGCTTCCCCATTGGTTCTGTTCTAATTATTAAACTGGTGGAGGGCCCAGGGGTGTTTTTATTCTCATGCTTTATAACTTGCATACATGGCCCAGTATTGTATATGCAACAAAGAGTTCCTTACTTAAATAAAAGTAGTCATCAGTTCCATCCATATTCTTTTCAGCTGTTCTTGTTAAATGATAAAAGCTTAAAGGCTTATGAAATTAAGCTTTTCCCACCAATGTGCTTAACATATGCTGCTTCTTTCCTCTTAAATATCTTCCACTTCCTCATTAATTTACTTATTATGGGAATGTTCCCTTTGGAACCTGGGTCAGGTGTAACCTCAGACATCCATGACCTTCCTAAATTTTATTTTCTCATCTTTAACATTAGGATAATAGTTCCTAGCTCACAAAGTTGTTTTAAAGAATATGGATATCTTATTGAAACAGATGTTAATAGTAATCTTTTTATTCAGATTTTTTTCACCAAACGTGTGTCGAACATCTGCTGTGTTACACACGCTGTAGGGGATACAAATGAATACGATGTAATGCCTCTTTTCAAGGAAGGAGCTAGTCACACAACTAGATGATACCGCCGTAAGGGGTGTAATTGTGGAATATAAACAGTGTAAGAAACCTCGTAGGAGAAAGAAATTGGTTCTGTAATCCTGCTCAAAGAGGTGGTGGTATATAAGGTGAGCCGCCGACAATTTGATTTTCAGTTCTCGGGTACGCAAAGCCCCTCTTCATCTTGCCCACTTCCTACTGAACACTCCGAGTGTTTCGGATGGGTCACCATGCCCCATGGAGACTCATAAAGGACTCACCCACCCCGTGCCTTAGCCTCTCACGCTCACTTCCATCCAGGGGAAGCCATCCGCTGTTGCCTGTCGGCAGAGAGTGAACAGATTCCATTCCACCCTTGTCTAGACTTGGGCAAAGTAAGTGCCCTAGAAATGCCACATAAATATTTTTTGGAATGTCATGTCTCCATGAATCATCTGGCTTCATTAGACTGGTCATTTTGATTCCATTTTTTATGTGACCGAGAGAACCAATATCTGACAAATTTTCTGACCCAGAGAAAGACTTCTGGGAAAAGCTAATACTGGCCTCCAGCTCCAGGAAGCCACACGCTAATTTTTCTATTTCGGAATGATGCGGTCATCACTGCAGATTTAGAATCACCTTAAAACCTCCTAGTTTCTTAAAATCTTTGGAGACTTCATGTTTTCCCAGCATAATGTAAACTATCTTTAATAATGGGGATTTAATAGAGACAAGAAAAAAACCTGTGTTCAGCTTCTCCAGACAGTCTTCTTGAAAGCTCAGTTTTGCTAGTAGAATTTTTAAAGAGAGTGTGTTTTTTCTTGTCTTCTAGAATGATTCCTTTAAAACATTGGTCAGGCCTTTCATATCCCTTCTCTTAATCCTCTAATGGCCTCTTAGTAAAAAAAAAAAAATCTGAAGTTCTTTCTGTGGCTTACCAGTTCATTACATATGGCCCAGCCACACTGGTCTTCTTGTCTGCCCTTGAAGTTACCATGCGTGTTCCCTAAGGCTGGGCTATGTGCTAGCTCTTCCTCTGGCAGAATCACTCCTGCTCAGATTTTTTACTGAGCCCTCTTTCGTAGTTCACTCAGATTTATGCTCAAATCTACTCAAAAACTACCTCCTCAGAGAAGTTTTTCTTGATCACCCTATTTAAAGTGCAGTTCAGATTGCTTTCTGTAGCTGATTCTGCTGTAGGTTTTTCCATAGCATATGTCACTATCTGACATTATTATGTATGGTATTATATGTTCATGCTTGTTCTCTTTCTCTTAAATGTATGCTCAAAGAGGACTGGGGTCTGTATCCTGATGCTTGGTCCATAGTTCAATAAATGTTCATTGAATGAATAAAGGAAAGAGCTTACTTTTCTGTTGCCCAGAAAGGGTAGGGTTAAAAAACAGACTGAGGCTTTGTGGTAGTATCCATGGTTGTACAAGACAGAGGTAGTGTGAATTTTTATGGAAAATATATAGAAGATCTGGGCATATTAGGCATGTGACTGGATAGGTCTGAGTGTCAGTTGCCTCTGAACAAATAAATTAAAGTTGATAAGATCAAAGGAGATAAAGAAAGTGGTAACTTTTTATAAATCTTAATGTAACGATTGCTATCTCTTTGGGCCAACATGCAAATATTACAAAATCAAAACCAGCTATTCAAATTAAAATTTACAACTTTTAGAGCAAGAAAAACTTCTAAACATCTAATAAACTTCCAATCATCCTTTAAAGGAAAAAAGGCAATGAAAAAATGAGTTGAAAAGCTACTATAAAACAACAAAATATAGTATTTCCACATATGCATGCATTAAAATGCAATTATAAGCATTGCTTTCTTGTCTTTTAAAGTTTAGTCTTTATAAAATTAGCTAGGATTTCCACAGTGGCTCTTTCTCTGAGGAATAAGTAGATGTGCTAATCTCAGCTGCTTACAAATTTTAACTTCATAACACCCCAGCCATTTCTTACAATCCTATGAGTCATTCTGTGTAGATAAAAGAAAACAGTAAAAACCCACTTCAAATTAATTTGTTTAAATTCCCTTTTGCTGGTAAGGAAATTCTTGCTGTTGCATGATAAATACTAAAAATCATTATTAAAATGGTAAATTTCTACGAGATTTATATAAGGTAAAAATGAAAATTTTAAACGTTAGTATTTGAGTGAATAAATGAGGCCTGAATTTTATAGCTCACTGATTCATACTTTTCTAGGTGAGGGCCTATTTTGATATGCTAACCTTATTTATTTAGGTTTTTAGCCAAGATTATTGCCATATTATTGAGATAGTGTGGGTAATGAAGCTATTAAAATGTGCATGTTGAAGCCCAGGTATAATTTGTGTGTCTGTTTACTGAAGGGAGGTGGAGGGCAGTCTTATTAAAATAATATCTGTACATATTGGAGATGAAAAGCATGTGCTAAATAACCCCTGTGGAAGGAAACCAACTGTTTGTTTTGCAGGGCAGGGTGTCAGTCGTACACACTGCCTCAATTCAGTGAGTGGGGCTTCTGCTGCTCCAGCCTCCTTTCCTGTCTCTATTCTGTGCACAGAGTTCATTGAATAGAGTCTCAGAAAAGCGGAGGGACCTCTCCTGAAAAGGCAGAGGAGGGCTGCCAGTTCATTACCCTGGGAAAGCTCCTAATCACCCGTCAGGGCCGCGCTTAGGTGTCACCTCCTGATATCTTCCCCAGCCGTCTTCATGTTCTAGAAGTATATGGGTTTTTTTGGCCCTCTGAGTTTATACTTTGCATAATCTTCTACTATATCATGTGTTACATGATATAATATTAATCGCATATGTGTAAGTATCCCCAACAGTGAGCTTCTCCTAGTCAACTCTGTATCTGTACGCCCAGCACAGAGCCTGGCCTATAGTGGGTGCTGGCTGAGCTGATATTATTATTCAGAATAAATAAATTAATGCAGGTGCTAGTCACCCCACCCCCGGAGAGGCTGAAAGTGTACAGAGTCCAGCCAAGGTTCGGATGGGATGATCCTGGCTTTTTCTTTGGACTGCCAACATTGAGAGAGTGCAGACATTGTACATCATGGTTTTAAAGACTGTTGAGAATTTTAAACCCCATCTTGTCGCCAGTGATCCTTTCCCAAACTCTCAATTCTGCTATTAATTTTTCTTCTGTGATGGAGGGTTCAGCTCCATCATTTCACTCTTCTCTCCTCTTCCCAATGAAAACCACCACTGATTTGAGACTGATTTGAGTCCTGCTTGCCCTGAGCTTCACGTGTGTTGTTCCAGTATCCCCGTGCTGAAGCTTTCCTCTAGGGGCCATGGGTGTAGAGGTGTGTGCATGGAGCCATCTCCAGTGCAATTAGATTTACACCTGGCCCTACAAAAGAATCAGCAGGCAGGTGAGAGTGTGTGTGTGTGTGTGTGTGTGTGTGTGTGCGTGTGCGTGCAAGCATGTTTTGTGAAGACAAGGGTGAGGGTGTAGAAAGAGGATTGGGAAGTTAGAGAGAGACTTAAAGAGGATCGTGAGTTCTACGGTGTCTGAGCATTTCTTCGACGTTCTTTTCCAGGTTGACTTTGGATTTGCTAAGAGAATAGGATCTGGACAGAAAACATGGACATTCTGTGGGACCCCAGAGTATGTAGCTCCTGAAGTCATTCTCAACAAAGGCCATGACTTCAGCGTGGATTTTTGGTCCCTGGGAATTCTAGTGTATGAGCTCCTGACGGGCAAGTAAGTATGTTCAAGCTGTGTTCAGCCTCTTCGGAGAAGTGCAAAAATAACTAATGATAAAAAATACATAATTTAAGAATTTAGCATTTTGGAAATGTGGTGCCTTTTCCTCTTTACATGATTTCACATATAGTATATTTGTCAGTTTATAATATAGAGAAAAGATTCAGGAAGGTAAAAGAAAGGAGCACAGGATGCTATGGTTTACCTAAAATGGCAAGGCCTGTTATTATTGATAACATATTAAGTGTGTGAAGGTTGTGATAATTCAGCATAAGAATAAGAAAAGATATTGAAATTGTAGGTTATGTTATTGTTTCTTCTTATATATTTTTGTAATTGAAAAATAGCAATCATGTTCCAATTAAATTCATTGATCAATTAACCTAAATTTAGCCATGTTCATCTATATTCCAAATAAATCATTAACCATAAATCCTAAGCAAAACAACATTGCTGGAATGATATTTCATTCCCCCTGTCGTCTGCTTTCTAGAGGTGCTAATTAACAGAGACATGACACAGCAGGGGTTGTAGCAGTTAAAATTGAATTGTCATTCCCAAAGAGATGAAACGGCTATATTAATGAATTCAAGATTCCAAATATTCAATATGCATGCCCACACATATTTATATGCACACATGCATACCCACATACATATATAGGCTATATGTAATATTGCTTATATTAATTCATATTTGTAAAGTATTTTACAATTTACAGAGCACGTACATGTGTATTATCTAGTTTAGTTTTCACAAACTTGCATGGAAGTTAAAGCAGGAATTTTATTATATTTTTGTAATTTAAATTTTTATTATTATTATTTTATGACAAATTTTATAGGATTAGAACATCAGGGCAGCAAGCTACCTGCCTAAGATCTGGGATTTGATCCCAGATCTTCTGATTCTAAATGTGACACATTTTCCATGACACACGTGTCCTGTAGTATAAGGCCTGGACACACCCACCGGATTTGGATCAGTCATCTTTCCAGTTATGCACGTCCACTTTTCATCAACTGATTTGACCATCTTTATAAAGCTTTATAACCAAATATTCAGTCGTAATGCCAGGGAGGGTTTGCAGGTAGAATGGCATAAGAAAATGCCAGAATGAGCCCATTGATGGGAATTCAAGTCTCAACACATACTTCACAAAAAGAAAGTTTTACAGAACCTTCTTGAATTTTTACACTGCAAATTTTAATGTTAGGTTACCTGTGACTACATTCTACATTCTTGTCGACATGCATTGAGCAAAAAGATATGTAATCAATTTCAAATATTCATTGCTTAAGATTTCAAAGAAAAGAAAATTATCCAGATAGTCATTCAGAGAGAAAGCTTCTTAAGGTCTTGGGACACAAGGAATTCTATTTTGTAAACTTGCTTTCTTGTCCCTGGAAAATTTGTTAGCTGCATTTCTAAGAGACACGCGATGTTTCCTGTAGGTAACTGGAGAATAAACATTTCAGTCTTCACCAACTGGAATAAATTGTTAAAGGTGAAGGAAAATAAAATGCGGGAACAAGGAAGGGGGAAAAAACACAATAATTTGGAGTTGCTAAGGTAGCTTGAGCTGTCATTAAAAAGCTGAAAATTTGTTTCTGTAAAGGTTTTCAGGGTAGGGCACAAGAAAAGTTCATTTTAAATGCCCTGAACACTAGAGTCAGGAGGTAAATGAAAATGAGAAAATAACTAAAAAACAAAAGCTAAACAAAACACAATACAGTTTTAAATATATAAACGAGTTGAAAATATTATAGCCATGTTTTTGTTTCCTGCCTCATTTTCTTTACAAGTGAAACACAGATTCTGTTTTTAAAATTTTTAAATTTTATTTTTGTTTAAAATATTAGATGTCCCTTTTGAAACACAGATTCTTGAAAAGTTAGTGCACAGACCTCATGACTAGTTTATTACCCAGAGTGGGGATTCTCAATACCAACAAGGTCTCAAGCATGACCAACAAGCAGCAAGCAGTTCATGAAAGCCATCTTTATTTTTCAAATATTGAATGACACAAAAGAATAGATATTGAAGTGATTTTAAAAGCGAAGTGTATGCATTAAAATGTTATTCAGATTCAATCCCCAATGCTTTCTTACTCGCCTTGGCAATGCTTCCCTTGAAATACTCTCCTTACAGGACCTCTTTCTCCCATCTCTGTTCCCTCCTGGGTGGCTCCATCTCAGTCTCCGTTGCTGGGTCCCTCTCGTCAGCCTGACCTCTCAGTATTGGGCCACTTCAGGTCTTGGTCTCTGTCCCATCTACTCACTCCCTGGGTGATATCATCAAGTTCCGTGGTCATAAATGCTGTCCGGTGACTTCTCAGAATCATACCTCTAGCCCTAGCCTCTCCCATGAATGTCAGATTCATAAATTCAGCTGCCTGCTCGGCATCTCTGTTTTAGGTTCAAAACATCACTCTTAATTCCCCTTAATAAC